GAAACTAAATTAGATAGCGTAAAGTTACTTAAATGGACATTTAAAAAATTACGAATAACCTTAAATAAGTGATTATTTCACTGGACTTTTCTTATGCCTAATTTTTTAAAATTTCATAATAAATGAAAATTTGTTTCACCTTACATAATCTCCTCCCCAACAAGTAATGGAATTTTACTGATCTTCTATCCTTTTAATACCTCAAAACAGATAGATCTCCATTTATTACATTTTAAATTATTTTCTTATTGATTATAAGGAAGTTTCTTATAAATATAAACAAGGACCTAATTGACATAAGCCTGATGAATCTTCTAACGGGACTTTCGTTTATTCCCCAGACTCAAGGTGTTATGTCCATGCCTACAGTAATTAGTAATCCCAAGGTTAGCAGGGTCACTAGAGAGTGGCTCTGGTTTATTATCAGTAAAAATTATACTTATTTTTCAAACAAATCAGGTCATTGGAAAGTACAACAACCTAGCTTGTTGAAAATTCAAAATAGGTTGCGTTCTTCTGATACATATGACATTTCAGTGTGTAAATATCACACCACAGTCAGAGAACTAATGTGGGTAGCCCTCACCTCATTGAGGAGCGAGTTACTGAGCATGAAATGCCAACAACTGTATCCCCAAAGATTAAATAGTTTCAGACAACATCACAGGAAAGAAATGCCAGGATTTGTGGAACATGTTTGTCCGTTGATCTGTGGCTAAGTTCATGGCCCTGAAAAGGTATTAAGCATAAATTCTCCAGAGGCACAGATCCCTATTTGGGCCTATCATGTTATTCTCAATCAACTACAAGATATGAGGCTTGTTCTTTTACTCAACAATGTGCACTCTTAAAAGGACATGTGATTTGGATCTTTTTTCTAGTGGTAATATATTTGCAATTCTTAATATATTTTCATAGTTAATTGAATGAGACTTGCTTTAGAAATTATTACTTTTTTAGTAACCAATAGAACTTTCATATAGAAAACTTGAAAACCTAAGCATAAAAAAGAAAACTAAAGTCATCCATGATATTTCCATCCAGAAATTTGGTATTCATATTTTGATCCTTCCTTTTCCATCTTTCTTGTTAAGCATATGGAAAAATGCACGCATTTTTCTAAATGGTATTATACTGCACAAATTGCACAATTTTTTCAAAATATTCTCATATTATTAAATCTTATTTTAATATTTTAATGACAGCATGTATTTTATCATATGGTCATAGCACATTTAACTTAACTGCTTATTTTTAGATATTTATATTATTTCCAATTTTGTTTGCATACATATATCCTCACACACACCTTTGATTATTTTCTTAGGAAAAATTCCCAAAGTAGAATTGCTAGATCCAGGAGTAAGCACATTTTAAAGATTCTTTTTAAATACATGTTCCCGTATATTGCCAGCAATATATGAAAGAGCCCATTTCCCAGGAACTTCACCAACACTGCCAGCGTCTCTTTTAATGTGGCCAACTCTTCCTAAAATAGTCAAATTCAAGTTATATTTGGATATGTTTTAATGTCGTTAGGTCTTAGCCACATCTCAATATGTCTTGTGGTTCATTTCTTGGCAATTTCTCTTCCAATTTCTTCCTGAACTTCAAGCAACAGTAATGAATAAAAAGAAACATTCCTTTCTATGAAGGTGCAAAAACATTCTTCCCAGCATTTGCACATGTTAATACAATATATAATTTTCCTTTTGGACTATACTATACAAATATTACTAGATTTTTGTTCTCCTATTCCTGAGGAGCCTGAAAAAAAAAGAAAATAAACCCTTCTTTTCCATTACCTTCAGATTTGTTTTTCTCTTACTGTTTGAGAGGAAAAAAAATCTGGAATTTGTATGAGTGGTGTTTGTGGAATTAAGCCTATTGCTACCAATGTAAATTATCTCAGAGCACAAGAAATAAGATGGGCTCCATAGTATGATTTTCTTCATTATTATCTTCATGGCCAATGCATTTTTATTAATCACTCAACATGTATGGAGCATGGTGCTAAATTCTAGAAATAAAAAAAAGGAGATAGAACAATCTTTATCTTCAGTTTATATATTCACTAGCTGAGGAATGAAGATGCATATATATAAAATGATAAATCCTGATACACAGTAGCATATCCTAATTGCCCAGTGGATTTAACCACTCAAGGCCCTTGGAGTTCAGAGAAGTGATTGCTAAAGATTGGCATAGTGGCCTTCAAAGGGATTTGATCCACATTTTGAAGGAGGACTAAGACTTTAAGAAGAGAAGGGAGGGTGTTCCAAGCAGAGGTTACAGTACTCACAAAGGTGAGAATGAGCGTAGCATTTTCAAAATAAAAATAACATACAATGAGCCAGAGCAGTTTATTCAGTATTACAGTAGTAGAAAGATCTGGAGTGTTCAGCCAGCCTTGAATATCTAAATGAATAGTATGGGCCTGAGAGATCCTTTGAAAACAGAAAACCATTTAATGGTTTATGAGAAATGAACTTACAAAATAATACAGGAAATTTTATAAGGTATTGCTATGAAAAATGCTAATACCAGCATGAGATAATTATGGACTAGCATAGACAGTTGCAGAAGAAATTGAAACAAGTGTAGATGCTAGAGCCATTGGGATAGAAAAATCAACAGAACTTGGCAACTGATGAGATATAAAGAAAAGAGACTACTAGGAATTCCACAAATATATTCAGTTATGCTTGGACTAGGGATATAAATGATTGAGCCTATCCTCAACCATGTGTATAGAATCCCATAGAGAAGGGTGTGATGAACTTAACAGGGGGCTAGAAAGTGGCTGGGACAGCTTCACTGGTAAATTGATGCTTGAGCTTTGACTTCAAGGATGAATAGAATTTCACCAGATGGAAAGGGGGAAAAATTAAATGAAGAGGGCAAAGAGGGAGAAAATATAACCATTAAAATTTAAGACCTACATGACTGGAGAAAGCTGATAACACAGACTGCAAGACAGAAGTCTGATAGTAGAGATGTTTTAGGTGGAATGATAATTAATTCAGTTTAGACATTTCTCAAATATGTGGAGAGTGTCCACCTATCTAGAGGCAATGCAGACACATATATGAATGAAACAGGCAAAATTTTTCTGCTTTCAGAGTGTTTACCTTCTAGTGTTTGGAAATAAATACATAATTACCAGTATAATGTTCACCAAAGGTTTTTGTTTTGTTGTGATGTTTGTTTTCTATTTTTCCTTCTTGTCATTCACACCAATAAGATAAAATAGGCACACAGGAAAGCATGGATGACTAATATCAGACCTAAGTCATCACTTAGGCAACAAAATATACCAACTAACTATTCCCTCTAAGACTTCAAACTGTCCTCCAACTGACCTTGACATCTACAAGCCACAGACAAATGGTTTAATAATTGAGAATAATAAGTTAGTCAATCACATTTCATTAGGGGAAAATAAAGTCTTAGTGTGCTAAAACAAGCTGACCTTCTTCCAGCTTTGCATTTTTATTACACCATTTCTACTCTCCATCTGTGCTTGATGCTATGCTAAGATCTTCTGACCTTAGCAGTACTTCTTGAGATGTGCCTGGACTACATTCTCACTAGATCTTATTGCTTGAATGTTCATAGGGAGAAAATTATTGGAAAAGTATTTGCAGGTCAGAAATAAGGGTTTTGGATGACTAACCTTGGAAGTGAAATTCTTGTTGCAATTAAAATGCTCAATTTAAATGAACAAAAAATATGTAAACTGTTTAAGCAGTGCATTTCAAACTGCTATCAAGGACAGTTGGGAGATACTGAGTAATGCCATTTTTTCCTTTACACTGTAGCTGCATAGTATTCATTTCACCCTTCAGTAACCTGACATGTTGAAAAAGACTGGGCCTCGGAGTCTTTAAAGTTTTCTGACCTCCACAGTATTGAGAGCCAGTCTTTAGAGCTCTCACCTGACTGGTTGAAAAGCATTTTGTTTGTTCCCATACAAAAGGATTTGGGGACTTTGTTCATTCATGTCTTTGTTTTTAAGTAAATTACTATAAAAAGTTTCCTTCAAGTTTTAAGTTATACATACTAATTTTTTAAGACTTGTTTAAAATTAATTGGTCTTATCAATACCCTTGTTATATCTACTAATCTACATACTAAGTATGGTGTCAAAGTTGTATCTAGGCACTTCCCAGGAGCTAGAGATAATTGAATCTACTTCTACTGATGGAGCAAGAGAATGGCAATCAGAGGAGCCCATCGGAGGAGCACAGTCGTCCCTCAGTATCCTCAGGAGATTAGTTCCAGGACCTCTGCAGATACCAAAACGCAGAAGCTTAAGTCCCTTACTTAAAATGGTGTAGTACAGTCAACCCTATGTACCCACAGATGAGCAACCTGCCAATATGAAGAGCGACTACAGGGTTTCAAATGCTAACTAAATTTAATTCAGTAACAAACTTTTATTGTGTCTGATTGGTGCTAAATCTTACAACAGGCATTTGCAGTCCAAAAATGAGTAAGGCATAGTTACCCTCAGGAACTTAACAGTCTAGTAAGATTTAGCTGTATTAAGTTATTTGTGCTTATTTATTGTAAGATACTTTAGATTTCTGGTTTTCATTATCATCTGGCCAAAACTCATTTAAATATACCATATCTCATTTTTAATCATATATGCCATCAGGTCTCCAGCTGGTAATAATTTACTTAAATATATGGCTAAATAATAAGCAAAAATTTTCATATATTTTAGAAAATATCTTTTATATTCTGTAGTCCACATTTTATAGGCAGGAAAGCTGTCAGGGATCTGAAAGTCAAAACAACTTTCTACTGCAGTTCATAGGAGAGTACAGACTATGAAAAAAGAATGATTATTTGGTGCTAATGAACAACTTAATTGATTGTGAGATTATTTATCTAATGCATTGGAGGTGAAATTAATTCTCTGTTTTCTTGATATTTCTCATGCATTATTTTATACTGTTAACAGCTTAATAGATATATTTACTTTGTATTAGTTTTCCAGATCAAGAAATCCGTAAAGTTGCAGTTCAACAGTTAGACAACCTCTTGAATGATGAACTACTGGAATATCTTCCACAGCTAGTTCAGGTAAGAACAGCAAAGTTGCCAAGGGACTCCAGGATTTTAACCAATAATTCTCTAAAACAGTTCCCAGTGAATCAACAATAGACTACATAAAAGTGATAATTGCAATTTGGCCAGCCAGGGGGCTAAAAAATTATAGCTCATATGTCAATATGGGTACTGCAGACATTCTCTAGCCAAAATTGGTTACAGTTACAAAAAAGGTATATAAAAGCCAAAAGGGAAAATTTTTAGAAAATGACTTCACTTACTAATTAGAACAGGAAAAAAATAGAAATGCTTGTGATGAAATACTTGTATCCAGCTGTATATATAAAACAATAAAAAATTAACCAAATAAATATTATGTAGAAAATAGTCATTTACTAGGCATCTGCTCATAATATTTTTCTTGCTTTTCCCATATTCTAATATTAATTGTAGATTTTATAAAAGTAGTTTCTAATAACCAAATTCTGCTGCCAGATAGTACACTTTTATGACATCAAATATCACAATATTGGAGTAATTTTGGAAAATAATATAAATTTATCTAGAAATATGATCAAGGATGGATTTAGTCTGAATATGTTGAAATATAAACAATTACACAAATGGTCATGTATTGATATATGATTGAATATCCAAAATATAAGCAATGATTTGTTTTCTAAGTTAACTGTATACTGAATGCTGAATAGGCCTAAAATAGTGGTCTTTATGTTTTTCTTTTGTCTTGCTTTTTAACACAGGTATTTTCTTATCTGAAATGTCAGGTTGTAGTTACAAGCTATTTTAAATGCCAGGTGCCTCAGGTTTTGAATTTAAGACAGTAGACCCTAAGACTGAAGTGGGGAGCTTCTATGAATAGACTTGAATACCATGTTACTTTACAAACAGAATATGCACTTCTCTAAAGGCCTCCTAAAGAGAGAGCTGGTTTAGAAATATATATACCATAGAGTTGCTTCTGCCACTCCTTATAGTTGTGACTTCCCTAGGCTTGCCAGGATAGTGTAGTGAAAATGAAGATTAATGCAACTTGCAGGAACACTATTCATCTCATGCCTCATGAATATGGGCAACCTGCTATATCTAACCCAACTCAAAAAAGTAAGTTTTTACAACAGTTTATATAGATTAAATCCATTTGAAGACCCCAATCTGAATCAATAACACTTGGCACCAGGAATGTCGCTGAGAGCCATATGCCTGTAAATGCAAATTCGTAGACAAGATGCACAAAGGATCCAACATAGCAAATACACAGAGATAAAGATGAGTAGCGTTGCAGCTATTCCCTAATTAAAAATGATGATTATAAACTCATGTGAGATGGAAAGAAATCTAAAATGTGACTGGAAAATAAATGAAAGTTGGAAAGAATTTTCAAAACATTCATTGTGGGGTTTGCCCTTACACTTCAGTGCTCCACCCTGACATTAAAACTTTCCAAGACATGGGAGGCCTTCAAGACGGTGGAAGAGTAAGACGTAGAGATCACCTTCCTCCCCACAAATACATCAGAAATACATCTACATGGGGAACAACTCCTACAGAACACCTAATGAACGCTGGCAGAAGTCATCAGACTTCCCAAAAGGCAAGAAACTGGGTAGGGCCAAAGAAAAAAGAAAAAACAGAGACAAAAGAATATGGATGGGACCTGCACCTATGGAAGGGAGCTGTGAAGGAGGAAAAGATTCCACACACTAGGAAGCCCCTTCACTGGCAGAGACGGGGTGTGGCAGGAGGGAAGCTTCAGAGCCATGGAGGAGAGCGCAGCCACAGGGGTGTGAAAGGCAAAGTGGAGAGATTCCCGCCCAGGGGATCGGTGCTGACCAGCACTCACCAGCCTGAGAGGCTTGTCTGCTCACCTTCTGGGGCAGGCGGGGCTGGGAGCTGAGGCTCAGGCTTGGGAGGTCGGATCCCAGGGAGAGGACTGGGGCTGTCTGCGTGAACACAGTGTGAAGGGGGCTAGTGCACCACAGCTAGCCGGGAGGGAGTCCGGGGGAAAGTCCGGAACTGCTGAAGAGGCTAGAGACCACTGTTTCGGGGTGCATGAGGAGAGGGGATTCAGAGCACCGCCTAAACGAGCTCCAGAGACGGTCGCGAGCCGTAGCTATTTGTGCGGACACCAGAGACGGGCATGAAACACTAAGGATGCTGCTGCAGCCACCAAGAAGCCTGTGTGCAAACACAGGTCACTATCCACACCTCCCCTCCCAGGAGCCTGTGCAACCTGCCACTGCCAGGGTCCCGTGATCCAGGGACAACTTCCCTGGAGAACACATGGAGCCTCAGGCTGGTGCAACATCACACTGGCCTCTGACGTCGCAGGCTCCCCCCGCATTCCATACCCCTCCCTCCCTCCGGCCTGAGTGAGCCAGAGCCCCTGAATCAGCTGCTCCTTTAACCCCGTCCTGTCTGAGCAAAGAACAGATGCCCTCAGGCGACCTACATGCAGAGGCGGGGCTAAATCCAAAGCTGAACCCCAGGAGCTGTGCGAACAAAGAAGAGAAAGGGAAATCTCTCCTGGAAGCCTCAGGAGCAGCAGATTAAATCACCACAATCAACTTGATATACACTGCATCTCTGGACTGCCTGAAGAGACAACGAATCATCCCAGAATTGTGGTGGTGGACTATGGGAACAGCAATATATATATTTTTTTCCTTATTCTCCTTTTGTGAGTGTTTATGTGTATGCTACTTTGTGTGATTTTGTCTGTATAGCTTTGCTTTTACCATTTGTCCTAGGGTTCTGTCTGTGCTTTATTTTTTTAAATTACTTTACAATTTTTTTATTTTAAAAAATTAATTTTTATTTGGTACTTTAATAAATTTATTTTATTATATTTTTTTTTCTTTCTTTTTTTCTCCCTTTTCTTCTGAGCCGTTTGGCTGACAGGGTCTTGGTGCTCTGGCCAGCTGTCAGCCATGTGCCTCTAAGGCGGGAGAGCAGAGTTCAGTACATTGGTCCACCAGAGACCTCCCGGCTCCACATAATATCAAATCGTGAAAGCTCTCCCAGAGATCTCCATCTCAACGCCAAGACCCAGCTCCACTCAACGACCAGCAAACTACAGTGCTGGAAAACCTATGCCAAAAAACTAGCAAGACAGGAACACAACCCCACCCATTAGCAGAGAGGCTGCCTAAAATCAGAATAAGGTCACAGACACCCCAAAACACACCATCGGATGCAAGCCTGCCCACCAGAAAGACAAGATCCAGCCTCATCCACCAGAACACAGGCACTAGTCCCCTCCACCAGGAAGCCTATATGATCCACTGAACCAACCTTAGCCACTGGGGACAGATATCAAAAACAAGGGGAACTACAGACCTGCAGCCTCTGAAAAGGAGACCCCAAACACAGTAAGTTAAGCACAATGACAAGATAGAGAAACACACAGCAGATGAAGGAGCAAGATAAAAACCCTCCAGACCAAACAAATGAAGAGCAAATATGCAGTCTATGTGAAAAAGAATTCAGAATAATGATAGTAAAGATGATCCAAAATCTTGGAAATAGAATGGAGAAAATACAAGAAACGTTTAACAAGGACCTATAACAACTAAAGAGAAAACAAACAATGATGAACAACACAATAAATGAAATTAAAAGTTCTCTAGAAGGAATCAATAGAAGAATAACTGAGGCAGAAGAACAGATAAGTGACTGGGAAGATGAAATAGTGGAAATAACTACTGCAGAGCAGAATAAAGAAAAAGAATGAAAAGAATTGAGGACAGTCTCAGAGACTTCTGGGACAACATTAAACACATGAACATTCCAAGTATAGGGGTCCCAGAAGCAGAAGAGAAAAAGAAAGGGACTGAGAAAATATTTGAAGAGATTACAGTTGAAAAATTCCCTAATATGGAAAGGAAATAATTAATCAAGTCCAGGGAGCACAGAGAGTCCCATACAGGATAAATCCAAGGAGAAACATGCCAAGACACATATTAATTACACTATCAAAAATTAAATGCAGGGGCTACCCTCTTTCCTGGTGGTGCAGTGGTTGAGAGTCTACCTGCCGATGCAGAGGACACGGGTTCATGCCTCGGTCTGGGAAGATCCCACATGCCGCGGAGTGGCTGGGCCTGTGAGCCATGGCCACTGCGCCTGTGCGTTCGGAGCCTGTACTCCGCAACGGGAGAGGCCATAACAGTGAGAGTCCCACGTACCGCAAAAAAAAAAAAAAAAAAAAATTAAATGCAAAGAAAAAATATTAAAAGCAAAAGCAGCAAGGGAAAAACAACAAATGACATACAAGGGAATCCACATAAGGTTAACAGTTGGTCTTTCAGGAGAAACTCTGCAAGCCAGAATGGAGTGGCAGGAAATATTTAAAGTGATGAAAGGGAAAAACCTACAACCAAGATTACTCTCCCAGCAAGGATCTCATTCAGATTTGATAGAGAAATTAAAACCTTTACAGAGAAGCAAAAGCTAAGAGAATTCATACCACCACACCAGCTTTACAACAAATGCTAAAGGAACTTCTCTAGTCAAGAAACACAAGAGAAGGAAAAGATCTACAATAAAAAACCTAAAACAATTATGATAATGGTAATAGGAAAATACATATCGATAATTACCTTAAATGTAAATGGATAAAATGCTCCAACCAAAAGACACAGACTGGCTGAATGGATACAAAAACAAGACCCATATTTATGCTGTCTACAAGAGACACACTGAAGACCTAGGGACACAAACAGACTGAAAGTGAGGAATGGAAAAAGATATTCCATGCCAATGGAAACCAAAGAAAGCTGGAGTAGCAATTCTCATATCAAACAAAATAGGCTTTAAAATAAAGGCTATTACAAGAGACAAAGAGGGACTCTACATAATGATCAAAGGATCAATCCAAGAAGAAGATATAACAACTGTAAATAATTATGCACCCAACATAGGAGCACCTCAATACCTAAGTCAAATGCTAACAGCCATAAAAGGGGAAATCGACAGTAACACAATACTAGTAGGGGGCTTTAACACCCAACTTT